GAGCGGTTTATAGCTTTGCAAGACTCAAATGCAACGACGTGGACCTTGACCTCATGCTGATGAACTCGTGGGCCCCATATTTACGTTACTTATTTCACATCTTTCGGTTTTGATATACATAATAATTGTTATTCTAATATGAGGCGGTCCTTCAAATATTTTAAATTGCATTCAAGTCAATACACATTCACTGGAAAATGAGGGGATGAATGTTATCAATCATTATAGAAATTATAGTCCCAAATTTATTTTCAGACATAGGTTTTAGATTTTATATTCGATTTTTCGAATCATTTGGATTATAGAACAGGTCTAATCTTCTAATTGTATAACGGAGGACCATTACCATGTAAGATATATTAGAGATACCACCAACATAAATAATAATCCTATGTAGAAAATCCGAAATGATAAGACAAACAAAGGGAATAATATACATAAACACTGTTGAAGCCGAAGAAGTCTCCAAGTCAAACAGAGGGTTTGACCTGAGCCAGGGACTTCGGACGAGATTATATGCTACTTATTCATAAGAGTTTTTTTGGTGATCGGGTATCTTGAACCAAGATTCAGATTAATCTCGGAATCGGCAGTCAACTAGACGATTTAAAATATATATTTCTTCGTCAAATTTGAGTTTGAATTCAGGACGAAACAAACGTTTTGAGCTTCCATTTCATCGATTGAATTATCCAAATTTTATTTTTATTTAATATTGGTGACATACAAATTTTTGGATTTTTGAACTTGGAAGGAATTCTATGGATTCTGCTAACTACTATGAATCTACAGTTGTCACGTTTGATTAATTTTATATTTTAGGACTTGATTTCGTGGCTTTGATTTTGATATCAGTATCAAAAGCTAAAGTCAATATTTTTATGGTTTTGATTTTCATTTCAATTTAAAGAATAATTACCATGTTAAAATTTTAATTGGTTTTAAGATCATAAAAAATAGATAAATAAATAAATTGTAATCTGCCATTGGTTATAGTATTCATACCAAATTAAATTACCAAGAGGTCCAAGAGCCTAACCAATCATCTAAATTAAGGTTTGATCAAAGTCAAAGCGAGAGAAACGAGGAGTTATTTTAAATCTTTGTTAATGATTTTTATACATTGAAAGCTGATAAATGAACATCTTAAATTGCTATGATAATCCTATTGGTGGTTATTTGCAGATGGTAATTGATAAATGAATATTTAAATCGTTAATGTGATAATAATATCATATAATAAAATATATAAAACCATTAAATTCGCTAAATAAATCTATTATTATTCAAAAAATATTGAAGCATAGTCCAAAAACATTATCTAATTATTTCAAATATTTAAATAAAGAACCGACTGTGTGAAGAATCCAGGCATTGACGGTTGATCCTTATCCATATATATATATTTTTTCTTCATTTTTTTAAATTATGTCAAATTGAGACAAATCAAATGATGTTTGTTCCTGAAATTGCGGAGATCTCTTCTTGGTTGTTTTTAGAGCCACGATTTTGGATTTTGTCTGAATCTTGGGTCGCTTTTTGCCGACTTTATCGATTTATTTTTCGGCATATATGGAGAACGAAAAGGATAATATTAGACTAGAGATATATAAATCCAAACCACTTCATTACATTATCCGGTACGAATATAATTTCAAAACCATGGTTTGATTTATCATATGAAATAATATTGAGTATAAATCACATATTATATACAAATTTCTGAATATCATACAAAAAAAATAAGAAGAAAAGACGAGAGTTGTGTTTTGTTGTGTCGAACAAAATATTCGTTATTTAACACCTATATGTATACATGTTTGCATATACATATTTTTACACCTACTTCAATATCACTATATATATATATATGTAGTGACAAAAAAACTGTAATTTTTTCATCAAAAAAAAAAAACTGTAATTTCATATAAAAAAATGCAATAACGAAAGAAAACAGTGGTTGGAGACAGGGACATGGTGGTCTCTTATTGGGCCGAGTTTGTGGCCCAACTTCTCCGCCACAAAATCACGTCGGCTGAAACGCTACCGCTGTAGAGTTCACGTGCGTTTTCGTGGGACAACCGCGTTTATGCTCCTTCACTACCCACACGTTTATGGAAAATAAATTACTCTGCTTTTTCAATAAAAATCCTTTAACCACTCATTTATATTTACCTTTTTAAGTGATTAAAATTGATGTAATGTTAACAAAATATATTAATTATCTTTTTCAAATTATGTAATTGTATTCTCTAAGATTTTTTTTTCTGTATAAAAATCAGTAAAATATATATCATTCGGTATCTAAATCGAACCAAATAAAATAAATCATAACACTATTAAAATCTATAATTAAAGTATGTAAATTGAACAAAATAAAATCAAACCTATTAAAGTCTATAATCGGAATTAAATCATGATACTGTTCAAATCCATTCCCAACAAAGTAAAATACCCGTTATTTTCACATAATACGTTTTTGTCAATGGTATTTTTACTGTTTTTTTGTTAAAATTCCACCATTATTTTTCATTTTAATTTATTTTTAAACAAAGAAAAGAGTCTACTCTTTATGCAGCATCTTCTGTAACTCATCATTAGTCACGACCGTAATAGCCAACAATTATTATCTTCCTATAATTAACTTTCGTTTTTGGATCAACAAGTTAGTCAACAATGGTGTTAATAACAGCAAATATAGTAATAATGCCACCAAACACGAATATATATATATATATCGTAATGGATTTTAATTAAAAGAATTCTCAATTTTCTCAACAACTTATACATTATATGAATAGGATAATTGAATTATATATTCCAATAAAAATAGGTTACGTGCCACATCCATCTTCTTTATATTTCCGCTAATACCAAAAAAATACATAATTTCCAAAATAAATCATTAATATATATATAATAGAACAAGATTAGGTGGACTTGCTTCCCAACCGTTCCTCACATCTTTCATCACCTAAAACATACTTTTTCATGGGTCTAATCACGCACAAAGAGGCATTTAAGTAGTTGAGGCCTTACCACCACACCCACATACATGTGTATACACTTGCAACACACACACACACACACACACACATATATATATATATATAGAGATGTATATACATACACTTGTACAAGTACATGTGGGCATGTTGGTTGATGGGTCTCTCTCGTTGAGGTAGAGGTCAGCAATGGAGCAAGTGAATCAAATAGGGACAGGTGTTTGTTTCTCTTGGTTGAGAGTGTATTTGATTGTACATTTAGTGTGTTTGAATTGGACTTTGCATACTTTTGTGTGGACCCAATGGCCACATGGTTTTCCTATGTATATGCCCAACCCCCCTTTCCAATTTATTCAACTACACATACATACATATATATATATATATATGTATATGGTCCAACTACGTACACACACATATATGTATATGAACCGTACAGATTTAGTGTAAATAAGATACTTATCACAACTCCAACTATTTTCATTTACATGATTTGGCTCAAAACATTTGGGAGCACTAGTCAACTGAACTAATTTTGTTTGATTTTTGTTGATTATACAAGAATAATTTTCGTTATCATTCTTAGATGAACTTTGTCTGTATAATATATATATACGACGGGTCCAAAATTATCCTAAAACCATATGAACAAAGAGTCAATGTATGAAATGATAGTAACCATGATAAAAACAAAAAACAAAAGTTCTTCTAGTGTAAGAAATTGACATATGACTAACAAAAGAAATACTCACACACAGAATAAATTGGTATGACTATCGATACTATGATGGCAGCTAATACCTAAGCTTATCTTATTTTTTCATACATAAATTTAATTAGTGATTAGACATCAGGCTGATCAACCAAATATCAAAGTAACCTTGAAGATGACAATTGCCGACCAATTTTATAAAAAAAAATTTTGAAAAATTCAAAAAAGAAAAAGCATATGCAGAGGAGGAATATTATTGTATGTAACATCGAATTGGACATATGATTAGTCGGTATCTGATTCCACAACACGATTTTATAAAACAAGAACATTAATATGTTTTTATTCTACTAATCATGCTTTTGTTTCGAGTTTTAATTCCCTCTTCTTGATTCGGAAGTTTTAGGCCATTGCTTTGTAGATCACTCACAATGTTTACCGTTTTAATAGGGTACCCTTTTGCCATGTGACCCATTTGATACACACCAAACCGGGCATACATCGAACATCATTATGAGTTATGTCACAAATTTGTTTCCCGGTCTAATCAATCTGTAAATCAGCCGCAGCGAACCAAGACTTTCTTGGACCGACCATGCAATTTCTCTCTCAATTTGGCCTTCCACACCTGTCCTATTATTATTATTTTATTTACATATATGTCTTATTATATTGCAATTTGAAACCAAGGAACTTGCCTTTCTTTGTTAAAAAAATTCACTTGTAACCGTAGCCCAAAAAACCCTTTTGTCCTTTTGTCTGAAAATCACATCATAAATTACCCCAAAACAAGAGAAACAAAAAAATAATAAACAAAGATAAAGGTGTGAGCTTTAAGGGATCAGATTGAGAAGAATTCAAGAGAAGTGAGGAGTGGGGGAAGAAGAAAAGGCAGAGTTCTTTTTTTCTGCAGAACGCGAGGGAGATGAATTCCCTCATCCTCTGTAATCCCATTCGGACAAGAAGAAGAACAACTGGAGAGTATTGAAGGAGAATCAGTCATTAATCGGATTTCGTCTTTACTTCTGAAAGTGATCATCAGCTATGGCGGTTGAAAGAGTTCATCATCCACGTCGTTTGTTACTTGAGACGCAAGCGACCGCGACGCTTTCTCCTTCGGATACAAACCCTAGAATCAGATCAGGCTCATATAACAGCAACGGCAATGGCAATGAAGCTAACTTGGACACAAACATGGTGATAATATTGGCCGCTCTTCTCTGTGCTTTGATCTGTGCCCTCGGACTCAACTCGATCCTGCGCTGCGCGTTGCGATGCAGCAGAAGATTCGCGGAGGACGACGCAAACGCAAACGCGGGCACAGCTGCGCGGTTGGCGGCGGCGAGGGGTCTGAAGAAGCGGGCGTTGAAGAAAATCCCGGTGGCTGCGTACAGTTCAGGGCTCGACATGAAAGCAACAGAGTGTCTGATCTGTCTCGGAGAGTTCTTTGACGGCGAGAAAGTTAGGGTTTTGCCCAAATGCAACCATGGCTTCCATGTCAGATGCATTGATACTTGGTTGCTGTCGCATTCTTCCTGCCCCACTTGCAGACAGTCGCTGGTGGATCCGCCTCCGCCGGCGACGGAGGCGGCAGCTAGTTCCCGGGAAGCCGACGTGGCGGGGGCGG